CATGAGAGTTTCAAATGTATGTGGTGAAAGGAAAATGCTTCATTTATCAGTCCAAATTGATCAAACTCGGACCGATTCAACTTAATATACCAAACTACATAACGTTTTTTCTATTGAAACCCGGTTTGTATATATTTTGTGTTTTTGAATCAAACTTATTTTTCAAACAATTATAATTTTATGTTTAGGTAACTTATATATAATATTATTAGAAACAATTTGAAAAATAATGGGAGTTTTAAAAATATGTGCTGAAAGGAAATGCTTTCTTTATCTGTCCAAATTGATCAAACTCAGACCGATTCAACTCAATATACCAAACTACATAACGGTTTTTCAACTGAAACTCTGTTCGAACCTAATTTTTTTTTTGTTCAATACCATTTTCGGGATTCTAAAACTTAAATGGACAGTTGCCAATAAAGACAATCTCACCAAAGAACACCATCAACATCCTAAAAAGGTAGGCATAAGGAAGTTCTCATAGTTTGGTCCCTTTGAAATATTTCACAACCTTTCCTATTTATAGAAGATGAAACTTTCGCTTGTTTACTCTCACCATCGATGTGGGATGAATACATTGTAATAAAACACGTTTTCTTGTTTATAAAACATTATTCAACTTATTTAGTAATTCATTCCATTTCTCTTGTTTACCCTTCCTTTACTGTTCAATAATTCCATTTTTCTATAATCTCGTAAGTTGCTATCCAAAAAAGTAATTTTTTATTGAATAACTTTTTATTGAATTCTAAAATCATAAATTCAGTTAGATAATTAATATAGAAAGTTTGTTTATATGTATTTTCAAGATTCAAAAGTTCATTATAAAAAGAATTCATTTATAAAATATAATTTGCGTATATATTTCTGCTTTTGATCAAATCGAATTTTCAAACAATTATAATTTTATATTTAGGTAGATGTTTTTTTATATTTATATAACATTATGTAATTTTTTAAAATATCATTGGAAACAATTTGAAAAATCATGGGAGTTTCAAATATATATAGTGAAAGGAAAATGCTTCTTTTATGGTCCAAATATATCAAACTCGGACCGATTCAACTAAATATACCAAACTACTTATTTCTTTTCTAGTGAAACCCGATTTGTATATATTCTGTGCTTTTGAATCAAAATAATTTTTCAAACAGTTAGAATTTTAGGTTTAGATAGATGCTTTTTTTATATTTATATAAAATTATGTAACTTATTTATAATATTATTATAAATAATTTGAAAATTTATGGGAGTTTCAAATGTTTGTTGTGAAAGGAAAAATGATTCCTTTATTGGTCCAAAATGATCCAACTCCGGTTCAACTCAATATACCCAACTACATAATTTTTTTGTAACTGAAACACGGTTTAAACCTGAAAAAATTCGGTTCAAAACAATTTTTGAAATTCTAAAAGTTAACTGGACACTTGCTAATATAGACAATCTCACCAAATAATACCTTCAAAATCCTATAAAGGTAGGCATGAGGAAGTTCTCATGGTTTTGTCCTTTTGAAATATTTCACAACCTTTCCTATTTATAGAAGAGGAAACATTCTCTTGTTTACTCTCACCATCGATGTGGGATGATGACATTGTAATAAAATACCCTTTCTTGTTTATAGGACATTATGTAACTTATTCATAATATTATTATAAATAAATTGAAAAGTCATGGGAGTTTCAAATGAATGTGGTGAAAGGAAGTTAAAAAAGAGGGTTTCAAATGCATGAGATTCAAGAAAAAATGCTAACATTATAAGTATGTATGATATATATATATATATATATATATATATATATATATATATATAATATATATATATATATATATAAGGGATGGTTCATAAGAAAATGCAAATAATTTGTGAAAACACCAAAACAAGAAAAACATAAGAGATTGTGCCACCTCATCATTATCTTTTTAGACAATAATTCATCAAAACTTTGAAATAAATGATAATAATCGGTAATAGATGAGAAATTGTATCATATTAGCAAAGTATGATTTTTGACATTTTTATTATGAAAACGTGAATTTAAAAATGGTTAAGGACGTGAAAAAAAAATTATTAAAAATGTTTTTAAATCTATATTATCATAACACAATCTAATGTAAACTTATTATTTTTAATTTATTTCTAATAAATTTATTTTTTATAGTACATGTGTTTAATTTTCATAAGACAAAATATGTTTTCGCAATTTATGTTTTCGTATGAACCTACTTATATATATATATATATATATATATATATATATATATATATATATATATATAGAGAGAGAGAGAGAGAGAGATAGAGAGAGAGGTCAGGTTAAAATGTGGATGAACATATACTATATTGACGTGCGTGGAGAGTGCTATTCTATAAAAATGATTAAAAGAGTAAGTTGTTTGGTAATCTGAATAAGTTCGACCATATATAACTATCGTCGTTACTATGCATTCTCACTACCTCTTATTTATTTTTCTTCTCACACATCTTCACTCATTATTATTCTTACAAAATAAGATTATGATTAACACATTTTGACCATATTCATATAGAATGCGAATTATAATAAAAAGTTTATAATACGCTTATAGATACTTTAATTAGTGACAATAGTTATGTGAGGTTTAACATGTTCACATTACTAAACACCGTATTTTCTTAGTTATCCTCACATAATAGTATTGTCCACACGTGAAAGTTCCTAAGATCAAACAAATTATCAAACAATGACTATAAACAAGAACAACGAGGATTCACAAAGATAAACTTTCACTAAGAATGATAATCTCACAAAGAGATTATCGAATACACAAAGCGGCTATTAGGGTTTGTGAAAGATGCGCCTTTTACAAACTTGTACAAAAGACTATATAGAACTAATCTAGGCAATCCCTACAAATCAGGGTTGTACCAACTAACTAATAGACGAAAACTATGGAAACTAGATAAGTACCAAATCTGTTACAAAATACTGAATATGAAACTATACACTGAGCAATTAATACGCTGACGCTGATGCTGGGTCATCAGTCTCAAACATCATCATATTATAAGGTTCGACCTTACAATCTCCCCCAATATGATGATGTTCAAAACCAGCTAGACTAGAACACCCCTGGACAAAAATTCTTCATACTTAGCTTCAGCTTCTACTTTTACTGGCCAGTAAGGACTATCTAGCAGCTCCTGTCTTCTATTCAGTAACTCCATATCAATCAGGATATGAAACTCTCAAGAGAGATCTTGATGACTCATGCACATTTGTCTTAAACCAACAAGATGTTCTATTGGAGCCCTTGGAATTTCTGCAGTACGCTGAAAACACATTTTCCTGTTCTTATCAAGATAAAACATTCCATGTTCAGGAACATAGATGAACTGATGTTGAACCGGCTCAACACCAATAAGAAGAGAGTTGTTTATTTCTTCAGCACCAAAATTTAGAACTAATACATCTTCACCATCAACTTGAAATCTAGTTCTTCTGATTCTTGGAACTGAGGAACTTGGGCCTTGCTACTGAGGATGCTTTGTAGGAACAAGATCAAGATGCTGAACTTTCTTGATCAGTAAGTAAAGAGCACAGGTTAGTTCTGAAGAAAGAGTTGAAGTTTGCTTGGATGCCAACTCGAGCAATTCCATCCGTTCAGAGTATCCGTATCTAATCATCTCGTCTCTCTTTATAACTTCAGTGTACGGATGTTGAGGACCTTGACGAGTGATCAGCAAAGTAAGGATTTTCTCGTCATGAGGTTTTGAGGTTTTAACTTTGATGATCTTGTCATTGCTTACTCTTCGTTTGAAAACCTCTTGAAACCTTTTGCGATCGATCCTGTCAAGAACACTACCAGTCCTTGACTTACTGCTACTGGAAGGAGGCTGTGAAGACTTAGTTATGGACTGATATTCTAGAAACCTTTTCATTTGAGCTTCAAAGGATCCCATTTCCTGAAGTTTGTGCTAAATGAGAGATTCATCAGCTTGAGCAATATTCTTTAGAAGCTGAGCTTTATTGGCTTCATCAAGGATTTTCTTAACTTGATCAGGGGTCATATTCCATTCAACTGCCAGATTTGATATGCTGACAATGGACTTGTGTTTCTTGCTAGGAGGAGAAGTATCAACATGTGAATCAGATGATTTAGTATCTGTTGCCTTTCACTTTCGAGATAAAGGAACAAGATCCTCACTAACTACATCTGAGTTTTCACCTTGAACTGGCACAATGGGATGTATGAAGTTCATGTCCAGCATCTAACACTCATCATCATGTTCATCTTCATCATCATGTTCACATTCTTCAGTAGGCTTTTCAGTTTCTGCTAGTCTCTCAGACTCGTGCTCAGGCTGTGGTGGCCCGGTCTGTTTTACAATGTTCCCCCTGATCCATGCTCACAGGTTCTATCAACAGAATCAGTTTCTCCCCCTTTTTGATCATCATCATCATTTGGGCCAGGGGAAGGAGTTGACAGAATAACTCCCTTCAGTTGGTTGACATCAACCTTAATACGTAGAAGACGCTAACTCATATCTCGAGTTAGTGTAAGAAGCTCATTAAACACTGAGGCCGGAATTTGAATGAGCTGAGTGCCTGGAATTTCTTGTGATCGATGCTGCTCCCCCTGAGATGGTTGCTCCCTCTGAGCAGATGACTCCCCATGAGCTGAATGAACTCTTTCAGTGACATAAATAGTATGATGAGAAAGTTGAGGGGAGATATGACCACCTTCTTGTATTTCAGCTTGTATTTCAGCATGAATTTCGTCATTATCAGCAGCTCCTTCGTCAGTGTCAGCGTTTAGTGAAGGAACGGTATATGGATTCGTGATCCATTCTCGCATCCGATCAGAGATTCCGATGTCATTGGCCAATGGATCATCCTAATACATTCGTACTGACATGCGTGGGCATTGGATGGGGTTTCCAGCGTGTGAGTAATAGGCTTCAGCATGAAATTTATCCAGGATAAGAGCAATCTAGCGTGGAAATGGAACATGATCAGCTCTTACATTGGCCCCGAAGAAGTTGGACAAGCTGATCGAAGAAGAAAGCCCCATAATCAACACGTTTGTTGAGGAGAAGTGAACATACCACTTGTTGCTCAAAAGCACTCAGTTGATCACCACTGCGAGATTTGTGACCTATACATTTACAAAGTGCCCCGGTGAAGAACTTCCATCCAGGAGTCATACATTGACGTAGAATGAGAGCTCGTCGAGCACCAGCCTTGGAGTGATCATAGCCCAGTTGGTCAAAGAGGCGTCGACAATGTTCAATAGTTGGAAGCTCAAAGAATGGTTCAAAAATTGGTAACCTGAGTGCAGTACGGAGGAGATCAGCGTTGATGAAAACTGAGCGACGGCCACGCCTAATAGTGCCGGAGATGATGTTGTTTTCATTGTTGACTGTTGCGGTGTAGTAGAACTCACATACTTGTTCGGGAAAGAACTCTGATGGAACCTCACTGATAGCATATCGAAGTCTGCAAGATGCTAGAAATTTAACAAAATCATCAAGTCCAAGACCGCGATGAACATCTGGTATATCAGGGTTGAAGACGACATTTGTGGCTTTGATGTATATGGGAAGAGAAGGAGAGTTTGGAGCTGGGATGACTCTTCTTGAGGTGGAGGAGAAAGTAAACAGTGATGCCGCCATTGAAGAGAGTTTGGATTCTAGGGTTTTGAAGAAAAGAGAAGGAAAATTGAATTATGGGAGGAAAGTTTGGGAGAGAGGTGGGTAATGAGGTTTAAATATGGGATTAAACGGTTTTAAAAAAAGGTAATGATTATCTTTTTCGAAAATAAATGTGTATCTTAACAAACTATCAAATCCGAAAATCAGTGTCTGCGTAAGCGCTGAGATCAGTGTCACTAAAAGTTACATGCTGAAAGATAATTTGTCGTCAATTCAAAGTACAACTTGCTTGTTTAAGGTTAGCAAGGTGGTTCATGCGTGTGATAGATACTGGTTTAATTATCTAACTATCGACATAGAGTTTTGAGTCTTTATCAGTGAGTGGTGCTTCTTATTGAATCATTAGACACTGAGTGAGAAGAAGATGAAGAGAGGATTGTTGCGTGTGATAGACCTTGGTGTTTTGGTCTAACCATTAGCAAAGACTGTTAGACTCTCATCAGCATGTGTTTTGTCACACTGAATCATAGAATCAGTGAGAGATTGGTAAGAAGAGATAGTTGCGTGTGATAGATCTTGGTGTTTTGTCTAACCATTTGCAAAGAGTTTTAAGTTGTTATCAGTGTATGGTTTAATAAAGTGAATCATTCAAATTTAGTTTAGAAGATTTGTAGAAGAGATAGAGATACGAGATCATACAAGGTACTCAGCATGGTAAACATTATCAGCACATCATCATCAACAAAAAAAAATACATCAGTTTATAAGACAATAGCAAACATTAGTAAAACATTTTTTTAATCCAGAATGATCATTCCAAGTTCTCTAATAATGTGAGCAGTAGTTTGAGTATCTAGGGCCTTGGTGAAAATATCAGCTAGTTGATCTGAAGTCTTGACATGTTCTAGAACAACCTTGCCCTTCTCAACATTGTCTCTGATGAAGTGATGTATGATCTCGATATGCTTTGTCTTTGAGTGCTGAACAAGATTCTGTGTGATCTGAATGGCACTGGTGTTATCATAGTATATAAGAGTCTTTGTGAATTTAAGCCCATAGTCTAAAAGCTGATTCTGAATCCATAAGAGTTGAGCACAACATCTCCCAGCTGCAACATACTCAGCTTCTGCAGTGAAGATAGCTACTTAGGTTTGCTTCTTGCTAGACCAGCTGATTAGTCGATTTCCAAGGAAATGACATCCACTTGATGTGCTCTTCTTGTCTAAGTTGCATCCTGCATAGTCGGAATCAGTGTATCCAAAGAGTTCAAGTGTTGAGTCACGAGGGTACCACAATGCCAAGTTCTGAGTGCCCTTTAAGTATCGAAAAATGCGTTTAACTGCAATGAGATGAGACTCCTTGGGATTAGCTTGAAATCTAGCACAGAGAATGGTTCCAAACATGATATCAAGGCAACTTGCAGTGAGGTAGAGAAGAGATCCAATCATTCCTCGATAAAGAGAGTGATCAACATTAGTGTCGGTGGGATCAACGTATAGCTTATCAGTCTTGGACACCGAAGTAGAGGCCGGTTTGCAGTCGCTGAGAGAGTACTTAACAAGCATGTCAGCAATCTATTTACTTTGACAAATTGAGATACCTGATTTTTGTTGCTGAACCTCAAGACCTAAGAAAAAGGTCATCTTCCCCATCATGCTCATCTCGAACCTTTGAGACATGATCTCAGCGAATTCCTTGCTCAACTTCTCATTTGGAGAGCCAAAGATGATATCATCGACATAGATTTGAACAAGAGTCATGTCTGAGCCTTTGTTTTTGATGAAGAGTGTATTATCAATTGCTCCTCTTCTGTAGCCATTTTCAAGGAGATATGATGTCAACGTCTCATACCAGGCCTTGGGAGCTTGCTTCAGTCCATATACAGCTTTATCCAGTCTGTACACATAGTCAGGGTGCTCTTTGTCTTTAAAGCCTAGGGGTTGTTTGAGAAATACTTCTTCTTCTAACACACCATGAAGAAATGTTGTTTTGACATCCATATGGTAAACAATGAAGTTCATGTATGAAGCATATGCAAGGAACAGTCTGATTGCTTCAATGCGGGCAACTGGAGCAAAAGTCTTCCCGTAGTCAATAGATTCAATTTGAGTGAACCCCTGAGCAACAAGTCTTGCTTTGTTGCGAGTAATAACACCATATTTATCAACCTTGTTTCGATAGACCCAGCGTGTTCCTGTGATGGTCTTTCCTGATGGTCCGGGCACAAGAGTCCAAACCTTGTGCCTTTTGAACTCATTCAGCTCGTTTTGCATGGCTTTAATCCAGTCAGCGTGTTGAAGTGCTGAGTGTATCTTGTCAGGTAAGATCATTGAAACAAAGTTAACATACATGCAAAAATTATTAGATACATGAGATTTGGTTTGGACACCATCATGAAGATTTCCAATAATTTGATCAACAGGGTGATCTCAATGTTCTGGAGCTGATTCAAATGAGTTTGACGCTGAAGAGTTATCAATGAAAGGAACATCAGTTACAAGAGAGTGTTCAGATTCAAGGGTTTCATCAACATCTGACAAAAAAGTTGTCGTGCTGACCGCAGTGCCTTGATTGACAGGACTTGGGTCTGGAACGATAGGATCAGGAATGACAGCTTCTTCTTCAGTATGTGAGACTTCATCAGATGGACAGGAGAGAAGCTCTTGAAAAATAGAAGGGGAATGAGCTACTTTTTCATCAGTTTAGGATTCTTTATGAAACTTTACATGAATGGATTCCTCAATGCATTGCCTGTTCACATGAAAAACACAAAAAGCCTTTGAAATAGATGAATATCCAACAAAAATACCTTTATCAGCCTTAGGCTCAAATTTTGATATGGGGTCGCACTGATTAAGAATATAACAAATGCATCCAAACACGTGAAAGAAGGATACGTCCGGCTTTCGACTTTTCAGCATCTCATATGGTGTCTTCTTGTGAACCCTGTGAATTAGAGAGCGATTCTGAGTATAACATGTTGTATTAACAGTCTCAGCCCAAAACAACATAGGAAGACCAGCATGAATCATTAATGTCCTTCTTGCCTCAATCAGTGTTCGATTTCTTCGTTCAGCAACTCCAATTTGTTGAGGCGTGCGAGGAGCTGAAAAGTTCTGACCAATACCTTTAAAATCACAAAAGTCTTCAAGAGTCGAATTTCGGAACTCAGTGCCATGATCACTCCTTAGCTGCTTAACTTTGAGACCAGTCAGCATCTCGTTTTATCGAATCAGTGAGATAATTTCCTATACAGCTTGACTTTTCTTCTTCAAGAAAGCCACCCATGTAAATCGGGTAAACTCGTCCACAACCACCAGCGTATACTTATTTCCTCCTTGGGAACGAACAGGAATAGGTCCAAACAAGTCCATGTGTAGTAAATAAAGATGAACAGATATGCTAGAACATGACTTGGGTTTGAATGATGACTTGTTTTGCTTTCCTTGTTCACACGCTGAGCACATCTTGTCTTTGACAAAGCTGAATTTTGGGAGACCTCTAACTAGATCTTGATTGGATATTTTAGATAGATTCTTAAAGTTCAAACGAGAGAACCTTTTGTGCCAAATCCAGCTGAGATTGGTTTGAGACTTGGTAAAGAAACATTGCATTAGTGCATTGTCACTTGAGAACATGTCAAGAACATATATATATATATATATATATATATATATATATATATATATATATATCATCTTTTCTACTTGCTGAGAGTACAATGTTCTTGTCAGTGTTGATGACTTTTCCTTCCTTCTTTGTAAAATGAACTTCATAATCAGCATCACACAATTGGCTGATTGAGATAAGATTGTGTTTGAGACCCTTTACATATGAAATATTTTGAAACACCACATTATTGCACTTGATGTTCCCATATCCTTTAGTAAACCCCTTTCCATTGTCTCCGTATGTTACTGCAGGACCAGTTTTGTTGACATAGTCTTCCAGGAGAGACTTGGATCCCATCATATGTCTTGAGCAACCACTGTCTAAGTACCAAAGATGGTCTTGACCCTGTAGTGCTAAGAAACTAGTTAGAACACACTGACCCATTGTAAAATGGGCCATTCACAAAGTTATTTGACAATATATTATAGCACTCTGTAGGAAGACAGTTCAAAGAATTTTATTTAAGAGTCCATCTTTAATTTCTAACTTTGATGCTATCAGCTCTTAAAGATGTTTTATCAAACTTGCATTCACTGATCTTGTGAGAGGTGTCACCACATCTGTAACAAACTCTAGCACCAAAGTTTTTCTTGGTGAGCAGATTTCTAGATTTAACACATTTGGATTTGTAAAATCCACCAAGTGACCTTTGAGTCCTTTTGTTTGACATTGAATTACAATTAAATTCAGTGTCAGAAGAACTATGATCAGTGATGGATAAGGAGCTGACATCAGTATCGGATTTAGACTTATGCACTGAAACACTAGAATCAGGATAATGTTTAAGTTGTTCATGAACAACATGAAACACTCCATTTGAGATAGGAAATGCGATAATATTTTCAGTGAGAGGAGTTGGTCTCTCAAGATGTGCAGGGTAAGAAGTAGGATCAATTTTGGTAATTTCAATATCACACTCAGTAACACCATTAGAATTAGTAACACAGTATTCATCAATGAGACTCTGATTAACAAAAGTGTTGCTGATAAATTTGTTTTTGAAACTATCTTTCAATTCATTCATGGAATAAAATTCAGATTCTTTTTCTTGAGATTTAAAAACTTTTTCAGCCTCAGCAAAATTTCCCCCAAGAATTTTCTCACATGAATGAGGTATTTGAGCAAAAATGAAATAATTAGAATTTTATGAGATTTAGCCCAAAGTTGTAGTACAGTTTGTTCTTTGTTCAAGAGGTCTTTAACTTTATCAATTTCAGTAGATAGCGAGGAATTTGATAAAACAGTATCTCTTAGATTTTCCTGAGTAGTGTCAATAATGTTATTTTTCAAGGATAGATGAGTTTTAAGAAGATCAATTTGATTCTGCATATTTCTTATGATTTGATTCT